GAAGAGAGCTTCTTTCTAGAGAGCTCCATTACCTCTTGGTAAGTCGCTTCTCAACTTTGAGAAGAGTGAAGAGACCTCACTCCCAGCCAGAGAGGACAGAGACGCCCCTACCCTCAACAATGAAGCAATACCTTATCATCCAAAACCAAAGGAAAGCTCCCTCCAATTTCATAACGAAGAAGAGGGCTGAGGAGGAGATCCCGTGGCAGGTCCCCTACCCCCAACGACCCAGAAGACAGGCCCCTCTAGCTTCTCGAGAAACATTACATAAGCCCCTCCAACTTCGCGAAAGAGGAGATCGCCCCACTTATCCCTCAGTCGGCGAAATAAAGCCTCTTTTCTCCCTTGGCAAGGGAAATTAAGAGTTCAAAGAGAGAAATCCTGCCTTTGCCTCAACCTTGAAAACTCCCCCACCTCATGCCACCAACAAGAAAAGAGCTCCTCCCCAAGATTTTCGTGGTAAGAGAAGAGAGCTTCTTTCTCGAAGAGAGGTCCATTACCTGTTGGGAGGCCGCTTCTCAGTCTTGCGAAGACTGGAGGGACTTCACTCCTAGCCGTAGCCAGAGAGGACAGAGACGACCCCCCCCCAACAGTGTGTGAGTTCATCGAAAACAGGAAGAAAGCTCGCTCCAATTTCACAAGAAAGAAGAGGGCTGCTCCAAAAACCTCTTGGTAAAGGAAGAGATCCCGTGGCAGGTCCTCCACCCCAGCAATTGAGAAGACAAGCCCCTCTAACTTCTCGGAAAAACACGCGCTCTGTTTACCTCTCTGTCGACAACAAGAAGACTCCTTTCTCTCTTAGTCAGCGGCGAGAGCTCCTGACCATCTCCTCTCCTCTTCAATACATTCAAGCGAGCGTTCGATCAAAAAGAAGGGACGGAGCTCTTCCAAACTTCAAACCTTGACAAGCGAAGTCTGGTCCTCCCCTGCGGCTTTCAAAAGGCAAAGAGAAGCCCTCGACCTCATCCTCGGAAACAAGCAGAGAACTCAATCCAAGTTACTCTTGGTAAGAGAAGACAGCTTCTTTCTAGAAGAGAGCTCCTTTGCCTGTCAGTAGAGGAAGAGATACACTGGCAAAAGAGGACAGAGCTCCAGCAGCTTCCAAAAAGAAAAGCCCTCTCTACCTCGTCCTCGACAAGAAGAGACTGAGAGCTTCCTCCAATCTAATGAGACAGAAGCAAGCTCCATCTCAATAAAAAACAAACAAGCCCCTCCAAGATATCGGGAAAGAAGAGAGCTCCGTTTACCCCTTAGTCGGCAAGGAGAGACCTCCTTCTTTCTAGGCAAAAGGAGATGCTGACTATCCCCTTTACCCCTTCAAAAGACGAAGAGAGCATACGCTCAAAGAAAGGGTGGAGCCCTTCAAACAAAGAGGTCTGGCCCTCTTGAAAAAGAAACAGAACTCGTCCACCTCATGCTCTAAAAGAAAAAGAAGAGAGCTCCCCCGACATTTTCGTTGTAAGAGAAGAGAGCTTCTTTCTAGAGAGCTCCATTACCTCTTGGTAAGTCGCTTCTCAACTTTGAGAAGAGTGAAGAGACCTCACTCCCAGCCAGAGAGGACAGAGACGCCCCTACACTCAACAATGAAGCAATACCTTATCATCCAAAACCAAAGGAAAGCTCGCTCCAATTTCATAACGAAGAAGAGGGCTGAGGAGGAGATCCCGTGGCAGGTCCCCTACCCCCAACGACCCAGAAGACAGGCCCCTCTAGCTTCTCGAGAAACATTACATAAGCCCCTCCAACTTCGCGAAAGAGGAGATCGCCCCACTTATCCCTCAGTCGGCGAAATAAAGCCTCTTTTCTCCCTTGGCAAGGGAAATTAAGAGAGCTCCTGACTATCCCTTCTTCCTCTTCAGAAGTTGGACTGGAGTTTACCAGAGCTCCCCCAACTTCCAAAGACAAAAGCAAAAGAAGAAGAGACTGAGAGCTTCCTCCAACCTGATGAGACAGAAGAGAGCTCCATCTACAAAATGAAAACCATGTACCTACAAGTTTTCGAGAAAAAGGAGAGCTCCGTTCACCCCTCAGTCGGCAAGAAGAGACCAAGCTTCTCTACAGGTAAAAAACGAGATACTGACTATCCCTTCTACCTTTTCAAAATATGGAAGTGAACCTAAGAGATGGTGGAGCTCCCACCCAGCCTCTTTTCCTTCTTTCAACCATGAAAACTCCCCCACCTCATGCCGCCAACAAGAAGAGAGCTCCTCCCCAAGAGTTCCGTGGCAAGAGAAGAGGGCTTCTTTCTAGAAGAGATGTCCATTATCTATTGGTAAGCCGCTTCTCAAGACTGGAGAGACTTCACTCCTAGCCACAGAAGACAGAGACGACCCCCCCAACAGTGTGTGAGTTCTGTACCTAATCATCGAAAACAGGAAGAAAGCTCGCTCCAATTTCACAAGAAAGAAGAGGGCTGCTCCAAAAACCTCTTGGTAAAGGAAGAGATCCCGTTGCAGGTCCTCCACCCCAACAAGAAAAGGGTATTCTTTAATAATTCGGAAAAAAGCTTGAAATTCTTTAAAAATAAAGACAATTGTTTCAAAGTGCTTCGAATTACCTCAAAAGGAACACTTGTTGAAACAATGAAACTATTTGAAAAAATAAAGACCCTGGCCAGGCCCGACCGTCGCAAACCAGGATTCTTTAAAATTTTTTGAAAAAATTGAAATTTTTGAAATTTTTGAAAAAATAAAGACAATTTTTTCAAAAATTTCAATTTTTTCAAAAATTTTTTCCTTTTGAGGAAAATTTTTGAAAAAATTGAAATTTTTGAAAAAATAAAGACCCTGGCCAGGCGCGGCCCTCAGGATTCTTTAAAATTTTTGAAAAAATTGAAATTTTTGAAATTTTTGAAAAAATAAAGACAATTTTTTCAAAAATTTCAATTTTTTCAAAAATTTTTCCTTTTGAGGAAAATTATTGAAAAAATTGAAATTTTTGAAAAAATAAAGACCTGGCCAGGCCCGGCCGTCGCAGGCCAGGATTCTTTAAAATTTTTGAAAAAATTGAAATTTTTGAAATTTTTGAAAAAATAAAGACAATTTTTTCAAAAATTTCAATTTTTTCAAAAATTTTTCCTTTTGAGGAAAATTTTTGAAAAAATTGAAATTTTTGAAAAAATAAAGACCTGGCCAGGCCCGGCCGTCGCAGGCCAGGATTCTTTAAAATTTTTGAAAAAATTGAAATTTTTGAAATTTTTGAAAAAATAAAGACAATTTTTTCAAAAATTTTAATTTTTTCAAAAATTTTTCCTTTTGAGGAAAATTTTTGGAAAAATTGAAATTTTTGAAAAAATAAAGACTCTGGCCAGGCCCGGCCGTCGCAGGCCAGGATTCTTTAAATTTTTTGAAAAAATTGAAATTTTTGAAAAAATAAAGACAATTTTTTCAAAAATTTCAATTTTGTCAAATATTTCACTCAAAAGGAAAATTTTTTGAAAAAATTGAAATTTTTGAAAAAATTGTCTTTATTTTTTCAAAAATTTCAAAAATTTCAATTTTTTCAAAAATTTTAAAGAATCCTGGCCTGCGACGGCCGGGCCTGGCCAGAGTCTTTATTTTTTCAAAAATTTCAATTTTTTCAATAATTTTCCTCAAAAGGAAAAATTTTTGAAAAAATTGAATTTTTTGAAAAAATTGTCTTTATTTTTTCAAAAACTTCAAAAATTTCAATTTTTTCAAAAATTTTAAAGAATCCTGGCCTGCGACGGCCGGGCCTGGCCAGGTCTTTATTTTTTCAAAAATTTCAATTTTTTCAAAAATTTTCCTCAAAAGGAAAAATTTTTGAAAAAATTGAAATTATTGAAACTGGTTTCTGTATTCTCGTATCTCCTATGCGTCCTTTGAAACAACCGAGACCTGCAAATCATACATAGAGGTCCAATACACCCGTGCCTCTAGAATGTCTTTGTCTGCCGCAATCTGGTAGTAGGGCCTTCACGAAGCTCTTGATGTCATGGGAGGACAGCAACCCGGACTCGGACGATAGTCCGAACAACCCGAGTACTTGCCTTTCTTGGCTACCCTTGCCAGAATGTCTTTGGGCGACGATCGCAGACGAAAGCCAGATTCTTCAAAGCATACAGTATCATACAGCACAGCACGGGATACTATGTTTGACCTTTAGTTTCGAACAGGACCTTGCATAGTTCTTTCGACGATTGGCTCATTCGGCACTATTATGCTTTGAGCTGGATACCTGTCTTCGCAAGCGCTACATGCACCTGCAAAAAACACGTTCAAGGGAACTCTTCCTCTCAGCATGGCCACTCTTGGGGCTGAACACACGAATCTGATTGAGAAACCCCCGGTAAAGGTTGTTCTCCTGGAGTTTTCGGCTTCTGATGCAAGTTTCGGGGTTCAGTTCACTTATTCGGTTTTCCTGCTGGTTCAGTTCGTTTTTCGGGTTCTTAGGGATTTCGGCTTTCGGTGTAAGGTCGCAAGAGGGGCTCATTCCTTACAGGTCTTCGCCTCCCCGCTTATGGCTTTCGGCTTCTGGTGTAAGTTTTCGAGACCCCTTCTGGTGTTGGGCTGGTTTCACTAGGGTTCTCGCCTCCTTCGGGTTTATGGCTTCCTGTCTACGGTTTCGAGTTGGGTTTGCAGCCGTCTCTGGGGTTCTGGTTTGGGGTTGTCGGGGTGGGTCGGTTCACTCCTTCGCTGTTTCCTGTTGGGTTCGCTTCTTGCGGTTTTCGTCTGTGAGGGATGAACCTTCCAGGAACCTTTTGTCAAATCCAACCTGCGGTTGCATCTTCGACGCAACGGCGGGCTGGTTGAACCGAACCGAACTGATCAGCGTGTTAGGTGTGCGTATATGGCACATTCACATGTAATATACCTGCTTGCTCATTTGTTTCGCTATTTACTGATCTGTATCTGTCCGCTATCAACAGTTCGGTTAAGATTTTACATCGAGAGATAAATGTCGGGGTATAATTACCGGACTTGAACATCAGCTGGCAGACGCCTTTCCAACACATGCAATGAGGCGGCTAAGTTCAGTGCCCTGCCCACATAGTGCAAGATCGAATGGAGGTCGATATGGGCAGGACCTCGACGCGCAGCAGGTCCAGGAGTCAGGAGTCCACTGCTCATTTCCCTACAGCCTCCGTTTTGTGCTTAGTGGGCACAGGCTGGGTGCTCTGCGGCCACTCTGCGAAGCCTTTGCAAGCCTGTTCAACAACAAGAACGCTTTTGTGTTCCGCTGGCGGAAGGCAACACCGACGTGGGGGCGCCTCGTAGTGGGAGCTGCGGCTCATAATCTCCTTGAAAGCTTGGGAGCTCGAGGAGATTTCAGAAAGGTCTAGTTGTCCGGTGGGCAGACTCCGGGAGCACCTCCGCATAGCACTGAGGATAGTACCACCGCTGCACGAATCAACACCACTTCCTCCCAAATGCGATAACACGCACGACTGCAGACTATGCCTGGGTGACACCAATAGCACTATGAATGATCGCCGACATTTTCTGAAGCCTGGGCATGTGGTGCACAATATCAAGTGAAACGTCGAGCGATCGCTTTGAACATCAGAAGCACAAGAACTGCAGGGAATTAGTATACTGATTGTGTAGACTCGGAAGACATTCACAGGCACCTCTGAGAATACCCGACCTGCTTGGCAGGCTTCTGGGCATTCCTCGGCAAAAGGCTACAGAGATGAGTCGGCAGCCTGGGCCACTACTGCGGTGGTTTAACCACCGCAGCTCTATTGCCACTGCAACAGATGCCGATGCAGTCCAATTGCTAAGGGCTGCCAAATGGTTAGATGATCTAAGTACGTCACAAGGCATTGCAGCAGTGGCGTGACCGCAAGAAGAATTAATCTTGAATTGCGCCACCTCGGAAGTGATGTCTCTACATGACTTGACAAAACGGAAACGGAGGGACGACCCACAACCACGATAGCCGCCAGTACTGTGTTCACATTATCCGAGACAGGTCACAGCGCAGATGATTCAGAAAGAGGCTCTTGCGGCAGATCCTCTTGCCAGGCAAGCAAAACACACTAGCTTGTCTCGATATAATTCGTCATGTCACAGTTACAGGTCAAATGAGCGAATGGCGATTGTTCCATTTCGGTGTCTCTTGCTCTCATTCTCGCTTCTGCTGCCTGGCGATACACACGAGCAAAGCCTGCGTGGCACACGATGCCAAACAAACTGAGCGACGGGAAGGAACCCCCTGACTTGGAGCGAACTTCTTGCAAAGCTGAATGGGAAGAAGCCTGATCAAGACAAGCCCCTTGTCGGGAACCTTCATCGCCACGGTTCAAGTAGCTGTGTGGTTTGGAACGGAATCTCGACGAAAGCTGGTATTATCTCTGATAAACGCCTCTTTCGACCAGCTTTGAAAACAAGGCCTAGAGTTAGCTTCATTGTGGGTATTTACAATCATTCCACTATGCCCTGTGGATGGCTTCAAGAAGCGCTTCTTAAATCTGGTATCTGGTACTGCTTGTTGCATACCAGAGCTTCCTTGGTCGCCGCACCCGACTCACTGATCCTTAAACCGTGAAGTTGCCAGGGACAAAAGGCATGTCTTCGTGTCAACTACCAAGGCAATCTTTGTTCGTGAGATCTCTGCTCGAATTCGCCTGGAGGAAACCGGAGGATGTCCAAGCGCAGGAAGTGGGAGTTTGATTGCGAAGGAATCCTCTGCTGAGGCTTCCGGGCTGCGCTTTGGGACATCCTCGAGTCTCCTCCGCAGCAGCTAGTGATCGCTGCCAGTGACGATGTGTTCAGCATGCTCTGCCGTTGCTCCACGCGCCGACAGCAAGTTGGCATGGAATGTCTCAATGAGCCTGTTCATCCCATCGAACCTGAGGTTCACGTTCATCCCAGCCCGTCTGATTCAAGGGCCATCAGACAAAGATAAGTAAGCTGCTACAACCTGAGGCTCGACACATAAAGGGTACTCATGACTATGTGGTAGCTAATGATGCCATACCATTGCAATGAAACAACACTACGGAGTTGCGGAAGAAGACGGAGAACAAGAGGGCAAGCATGGCCATAGCACAAGCTCTGATAGCAACAACAGTAAAGGTTTAGAGTGAAATTACGAAAGCAATAGCAAGATTAGAATACACCAACTCTAGTACCAGCACCGCAAGTACTAGAACTGATACTGACTCAGCTTAAACTTAAGCTGGTCATGGTGGGATTCAACAATGAAACAGTTAGCATGGACGGGAAGTAGCTTTGACTGACACAAAAAACAGGCAGCTGATTATACGATGCGGCAACTGTTCCAGGCCAAGTCACGCTTCCCCAATCTCATCTTCGAGCTGTTCAAGCGTCTTGATGGTGTCGTGCTCGTCCTGGCAAACCAGACTCCCAAACGTGGTGCTGCAAAGCAAGAACCAAGCTTGCTCTTGGCCCTTCACTGCGTCCTGCCTTTCACAGGGACTTGTGGCTTTCATTGCCGAGATCATCTTCGGTACGACTTTGAGCAAGTGGGTTTGTCATCTTCTGGTGGGCATCCCCACGGGAAGGTTTATGGCTGGCTAGGAATGCCATTAGTCGGTGCATCTTCGACGAAAGACAAACACAGTTTCTTCCATCTCTCGTTCACCCCTTCGGCAGCCAAGCATTCAGCTGTTCGGAGTCGTCCCTCAACTTACCTCACAGCAAGAGTTGCCAGTGCAACTGGTCAAGTCATGGCGGATTCGCAGCACGTCTCCTCCGAAAGAAGAAATATTATGCTCGACCAGCAGACAATCCGCGTCAAACGGAAAACGAAACTCAGCAAAGCCGTTCTAGGGCCGGAAATTGCGGACAGGTTAATCAGCTCTTGCGTTCATTTCCTTTTCGTACAGCTCCTCTGCTGCCATTTTTCCGTTTAGTGCAGAAGCCTAAGCAGTCTGGCACGATCGGTCATGTCGTTTCGCAGGCGCAGCATCAATGATGTTTTGTTGCTGCTCCATCAGATCTAGATATAACAGCAATGCCTGGGTATGCTTGTGTGCCATGCCCAGCTCAAACGGATGAACGAAATACAGAACGCAAACCTGCATGCGACTGGTCTGCGTTGTAGAGCCCCGCATACCTAAACCCTGCTTCTTCTCGGCCTTCCAAAGGTCACACTGCGCCGCGATGACCTCGCGACTTCTGGCTTCCCCTCTCGCCAGCATGATGCCCTGGAGCCAGGGACTGGAGTAGAAGCAGCAGCAATAGCAATAGCAGTAGTGACGGTGGCAGTGGCGCTTGTTGTTGTAGTTGTTGGGCCTCAGGTTTTGTCTCCAGTCTGGTAAAAGAGACAAAACCAAGAAGTTCGTTGTTGGAATGGGGCTTTTGTTTTAGTGCGCTCCTTGTTGTTGTGGTGACTGTTACTGCGGTTCGTGGTTCGTGGTTGCTTTTGCTGTTGCTGTTGTCGTTGCTGTTGCGGGTGCTGGTGTTGTTGTTGTTCTTCTTGCTGCTGCTGCTGCTGCTGTTGCTGCTGCTGTTGTTAACCCCTTCCCCTAATATTAAGCGGAGGGCCTCCCTCCTCCAAACATAAACTCTGAAAGTGTGTTTTATTTTAGGGTTTCCAAATGGGAACCATACTAGCCCTAAGCCCTGAACTCTACAGCCGAGGCCATCTTGGCATCTTACGTGGCGTTTGACAGAATGCCGCTGCCAGACCACTGAGGTCTTCGGTAGCGGCCGTTCCATTTAGACTAGGAGAAAGCACCGAATTTCCTGGATTCTTTCCGAACTCCTAGTCAGCTCCATTTTACAGAATTCTCTAGTTTCTCTCCAAGTTTCTAGTCTATTGGGTTTAGACTGTTTATTTAGGAGAGAACACAGAATTCCCTAAATTCTTCACAAAAATTGAAAACCTGACCAGTTTCTCTCCAATTCTGTTTAGACTAGCAGAATCATAGAAGATTCCTTCCAAAGACCTAGTCCGTTCCATTTAGAGTAGGAGAAAACTCCGCGCACCCTAGTTACTAAGCAAAAACCTAACCTGTTCCATTTAAACTAGGACACTGAATTCTCCTGTTTCTCTCCAAAAACCTAGTCTATTCTGTTTAGACTTGTGACTAGGAGAAAGCACCGAATTCCCTGGACATCAAACTCAGGCTCCATACCTGGCGGTGCATTAAGCTTCAGCTTCGGGACCCTACTCCCCGTACATGTACGCAATACTTTACTGGAGAATGTCATTAGTCGGTTGATTTGTCCGTTGCAGTCTTTTTAAGTCGTTGGGCGTTTGGTGTAGTTGCCGACTTTCTGTTTTAGTTGGCAGTGCGGCACGCTTATCCCTCTTCTTGTTGTTGGTGGTGGCGGTGGTGGCGGCTGCTGGGCTTGCTCCGTGTGAGCATTTGTTGTGGCTTAAGTGTTTTAGGAGCACAGCAAAGCTGCAGGGCCTGTGGTCGAGGGTTCAGGGCCTGCACTGTTGCAAGGACCAAGGGCAGCTAGAAACGATTGCCACAATACAGCCGCACTCCGTGCAGCCCGATGCTGTACGTTTTAGCCACCCGGTGACCGGCCTCCACGAACTCTTCGGAATCCAGCGTGCCTGAGCTGTTGTAGTCGAGGACGTCGAACAAGGTCTCCACCTGCCGCACGTCGATCTGTACCTGGCGTAGAAGCGCCGAGCACCGGCACTTCGGCCGGCCTTGGGAGTCCTAGCATGCCGTGACACTCCAGCTGTAGTCGACAGAACAGCGACGGCCTCATGCATCAGCTGCATAACGGACGGGATGTTCATGGCTTCCAGAAACTCCTGCACAACAAGCGCAACCGGACAACAACCAATGAACTCTCCTTCCGGATCCAGACAGGACTTTCACTGACGGACAACAATCAATCAAACCATTCCGGTCCTTCTTCGTGACTGAACCAGTGTTCTGGACATCTGCAGTCCTTTGCTCTCTACTAAGACAAGGCAACGAGAGAAAAGAACACCAGTTAAAAGACAAGCAGTGACCTGACATCGCAATTGAACGAAATTCAGGGGGCTGATGGAGCCAAGAGTCGCAGATGCGAGAGTAGCAGAGCAAGTGAGAGAGAGTGAGACTGAGACAGTGAAAGACAGAGAGATAGAGTACAAACCGACGGAGGCCACTCGGCCACCGCATTGCAAACCCAACCTTGCCAAGTCTCTGGAAGACTTCCAGAATCTTGAGCATGGCACTGGCATCCTTCTTTTCCTGGCCACGGCAGCGGCTGCAAGCAAACCATATCTGAAAGGAAGACATGAGATTAGGTGGACCTGGAAGGAGCGCATGTCTTCTTGCCTCTCCTTCGCGTGGACACCTGAGGGCAGATCGCAGCCGAAAAGAGAGTAAGGAAGCTTTACGAGGTACCGGCCAGAGACAGGCAAAGAAGCTCCAACTGCCGTGCCCAGGCACATGTGTTCTGCACAATCACAGCAACGACGACATTCCTGAGATCAGGGAACAAGAAAAGCGGTTGCATTGGGAGCTCAGCACCTGAGCCTGCAAGCCTGGCCCCTCTTTGACTCAGTTTTGCAGCAAAAGTACATCACAGCAAGACCTGAGCGGAGATTGGAAATATTGGTGGGGGCGGCTGCTGGACCGCACCGTTTGCCACAGTTGACCGCAGGCCAAGGCACTGGTACAGAAGATGTACAGCACGAAGAAGATCTCAGCACCTGGATATAACCTGGCCGTATGCCGGGCAATATCTGCCCATGTCTCCATTGTCATAACCTTGAAGAGCGTGTACATGCTCTGCCTCAGTCGGCTCAGTCCAGCAGCCGCCAACAATCGTTTCACTTCAAGAATGCCGCACGATGCCGCAGCTCACGCACCCTGCAGTCCGCGCCAAGAGACGGAAGCGAGCCGAAGTACTCTAGTGTCTTTGCATCGGCATTCACATCTCTCCCGAATGTCTGTGTGACAAATATAGCTGGAAGATACATCATGACCTGGGAAAGGCGCGACCATCACGTCTTGATAAGTTGTAGGCCTTCAGCTTCTTCAAACCCTTTCCCGACACGAATGCTGAGTGCCGATCAATTAAGAGCAGCCAGGCCCAAGCCAGCGAACTCAGCGATGCCACAATGCCTGAATACTTGCGGGCAGATGCAAGCTAAGTCAAGTTCAACACTGGATAGACGTATGCGACAAAAGAACGTCTCGGGCTACTTGACAGTCAGGGCACCCTCCACCAGGTACCAGAGGCCCTTGAACAGTCTGAGCAGCCGTAGCACCCGCACAAACCGTATCATCCGGGCGATTCTGGATCAGGGAACAGGGAACAGGAACGACAGCATATCAGACACCAGAAGAGGCATGCGGCATGCTTCGGTGGTGCACTGCAGAAGCACGTTAAACCAGTCGTGTTGACATCCATCTTGCCTGAAAACCACCTTCAAATTCTGGGATTGGGATGTGTCCGAGAGCAGGAAAGCCAGCACGAAATCCTGGGCACGAGGTCGACATGCGTCTTGGCGACGGAGGCCATAGAATCGGGTCCCTACGATTCCTCGATACGTTGTTGAATCCAAGTGACGTCGAACAACGAAAACAGAACCAAGAGCGCATCAAAGATGTTCCAGGGATCGAACCAGAAAGGTAGGCCTGCAGCAAGGAAAGAAGATCTGCGGAGGCAGACTTCAGCCACAAGCTGACCTACTCTTGGTGCTCTGTCCACGGAAAATAAACTTGCTGATCATGTCCATGGTAATACGAAGGAAAAGCGACTCACCTCTGCAACATCTTTCGAGAAGTATGTAGGGTGCAACATGTTCCCCGCCTTCTACAAACCAGCGAAGTGTGAGCTCCACAACAAAAAGCTGGGTGAAACAAACATTGGCAACATACCATTCGATCCTCGGCTGGCTCCGACCAGATGCTCCATGTGTCCGATACTGCAGAGTCAAGCTAAACTATTGGGCCGTGAGAAAGCATACCAATTCCGTTTAGCAGCCCCTCCACATCACCAGAGCAGGAAATGTAGGATGTCTCCACTCCCATGAACAAAGCGTTTGCCATGATCACGATGGCAGCAAACAGGTTGAAGTACCTCCACATCAAAGGCGGCAATTCTCAATCCGGAAGTGACAGGAAGCGCAGCAAGGAAAGGGTTAACGCTCCAAGCGGCTTGTGGCGAACCACAGGGAGCAGCCATAAGCGTGCCCTAGTCCAGCGGCTATGCTGCTCCTGGCAAAAATGCGGTCTTACAACCACTTCATGGCAAATTGCATTCGGGTTCGAATTGATCGGCCTGCGCTGCGATTTGAGATATCCGGCGTCGTGCGGTCACCTTGTTCTCCATGCGCTCCTGCAGGACTAGGTCACGCGCTCGAACTGACAGTAGGTGCCGGAGAATGTGAGTACGGATCTCAGCCAAGCTGCTTGTAAGGCAAAGCCGTTGGGCAGCTTTTTCTTGGCTTTCGCTCGCGCCAAACTTCGTTGTTCACGCCCCTCTTGGAGACTGCTGCCTCAGTCACATGCCACAAGTTCGTGGGGACCGAGCATGTTGTGTCGCAGGAAGCAGAGACGCAGGTCCACAGGGAAAGAAGAAGGCCACAGGACATAAGGTCGTAAAGAGGAAGGTGCCTACGGCCTACAGTCTGCTGAGCTCTATCTTCAGCAGGGCTGCGTCGGCCTCTGTTTCTGTCTTTGAGGCTCGAGGTCCTTACTTTGGTGGCGTTCACATCGCCCTGAGGCGAATCCTGCAGGGCGCATGCAGGGTGCCAGAGCTTCCACTCACACATACAGTCCGCGATCCCTGCGACTCCCTTAGCACTCCGGCCCCAGAGGACCATGAACGGCCCCTCTTCCCTCCATGCAACCCTGTGAGCGAAATTCAAAGAGTCCTGGCTCTGGTGGCTCCCTCGAGCAGGCGCCGGGCTTGATCTGCCCGAACTCCTGCCGCTTCGGCATGCGTGGCTTCCTACGTTCTTTCCATGTTTATGGCACATCTTCAAAGTTTGTTTGTGGGCAACGATTCCACATTGTTCAGGAGTGTTTGCAACCCTGGCTCACGCCTCTCGACCTCCGGAGTGGAGTCGGGCGCCTGGTCTGACCAGCACTCCTGCGTCTCGCATGTTGTATACCCTCAAGGTATTTCCAGACCCGCGAAGGTGCTCCTTGGGGACGGCCGGTGCAACCTTCGAGACCTTCGAGACTGGCATCGCGGCATCACCAGCACCTCGAGCTCCCCGAGAGAGTCTGCAAAAGATGCACTCTTTCCCAACTCCTGCGGGCCGGACTGCTCACGAACCGCACAGTCGGCAGCATCCTTGGTGACGCGGACAGAAGCCCAAGAGAAGCCGAAAAAAGCATGCAACGTCAGACGAAGGACTGATCTGTCGCATGTCCATCGTGGACACCCCCTGCCATAAGGGCCGCAGGCGCACGGATCGCAGCGCATCTCCTACCGTAAGGACTTAAGGTGAAAGTTGCTGCGAGGGTCGGAGGGCTTGTCTGGTCTGCCCGAAACGAAGGGGTCGGGGTCTGCTGGGCGGAGCCATGAGTTGCCTTGAATTGGAACTGTCACCCTTGCGCGGAACTTTTGGAGCCGAGCAGGCTGCGAACACTCAGATCAATACCATCGCTACTACGAACACCGTCGCTGCGGGCCCCTTCTGCGACTGCTCGCGAGTGGCCTCCTGCCACTGATCTGCAATGGAAGAGGATCTCGGCATCAGGGCACCCTGTAGAAGCCTCCGGGGTGACACGATCTGTGCCCTCAGTCTGCGCCCTGAACATGCCTGAACCCTGGACCGACTGGATACATCCAAGGACGCAACCGACCACCCATCTCTGCGGAC